TAAAATAAAACTTTTGACTATTGACTTTTGAGTCTATATAGACATATAGCCTCAAAATATTATATGGTATAGTGTGTTTTTTATAGATATTAGTTATTAGTTTGATATCATAAAATCAACACATTATATGTAACACAAATAAACAAAATTTACCTTTCAGTTGTTACAGTGACATTTGGAATAGTTCTAGATAAGTGTCCAGCTACAAATAAAGTAAAAAATTGTATGTAATTAAATTTATATTTCATATAAAAGACATGTCTAATATTTATATAAATAAAAAATTGGATGAAAGGTAGAATTTATAATTTATATCCAATAGTTGGTGGATATTATAAAGTATAATTAGTAAACATTTAAATAACATTAATATTTCATTCTTAAATAATTAAATTTTGTTCAGTATAAACAAAAAATAATAAACAAAATATTACCTTCTGCTCCTAATGTAAGATTATCGACATCCAAACTATTTAAGAGTGTAGAAGATTCTACATTATCAAAATCTTCTCTAAAAATAATTAGAATATAACTAATTAATAATCATAAAATCCATTTTATAGAAAAGTAAAAAAATAAATAATTACTTTTGATCAACGGTAGTGATTAGTGAATCTACCCATTCTTGTATAGTAACAGGACTCCTATTTCGAGGAGTTGCAGAAGGTGGTCTTTTTAGTTGACCTTCATTAGTTTCTTGAATATTTTGTTCATTGATTACATATAAATCTTCCAAATTTTCTACCATTACTTTAGGAACTTGGTCATAATCTTCAGCCATTGTAGTTGTATTTTCATAATTTTTTGAACTTATTAAACCAGCAAAAAAAATTCCTAAAAAAAATTTTAGCACCGTATATTATGTTTAAATAAATAATTTATAATATGTACTAATTACATTTTGTACTCAATAATTAAAATTTTAAAGTTAAAATTGAAATCACTTTTTTTAATTCACCAAAAATAAAACTATAACTATAAATTAAGATCTAATATATTAAATAAAATAGTCCTATGTTTAATTTTTTTATTCAATGTTTTCAGTATTGCATTTCATATCTTGACAGAATATATTTTAAACTATCAATACATAAATAATTATATTCTTATAAAATATTACAATTATTATTGCCTATTAATTATTTATCCATAAACCTGATGAACTATTAATTTTTTTACTCAGAAAATAAGTAACCTATATTATAAAATATAGGTACCTATTAATATTAGATAGATACTGATAAGTTATGATATATTTTTACACTAAATAAATTAAACTGTGTTATTTAATTATGTATTAAGGTATTAATTATAGCTTACCAAAAATATTACAACATATTAATAAGGATAAGTAAACTTTCTAATTCAGTTTTAATAATTTTAGAACTGAACATATTTTTTTTCATGTATTACTAAATATATTTCAATGAAATTGATTATTTATATAGATTAACTAGATACACTATAGCAAAATGATATTATAAAAATTAGACATGAAAAAATAATTATGGTAATTACTAATTTAATAAAGCCAAAACAATTGTTAACATTTAACAATAATATATTAATATTATTTGTATTTATAAATTTATAATCGCGTTTATCACGAATTTAAGGATAATAGATAAGGTAATACATTACAATCTACTATTGATAGTGCCGTTTTGCTTATCAACCATAGATAATTTTTATTATCTATGTTATCAACAGACAAGATGTCTCTTAATTACACCAGTAAAATTCACCAGCAGACAGCTGCTGCAGCTGCTCACATCACGAACTAAAATAGACTAAAAACGATCCATAGTCCATATACCTATTTATAAATCTATCTTAGATTATATTCTTTCTTATGATCCACAGTATCTTATCTCTGTACCTTGCCATGATCTTAATTCGTGCCCCCGTGGCGGCGTGGCTGACATTTACGATTCTCATTTCTCACGAACACGATGTTGTTAATTTTATTTACATCGTGCTCACAAAACACGACTATGGACTGCCATATGTATTTTTTTTATATCGAAGTCGATGGTCCTGAGTAATGGCCAATAGGAATAGACTTGTCGGCGACTAACGAATTTTTAGATTATATAGATGGGCTATACTTTCAAGGATACTTGAAAACATCCTGGGGCCTGGGGGGCTTATTGATTCCATCAGATTTTTTTTGGATAATACGACACAAACTCAAATCAAAACATTTTATAGATTTTACTCTATTCATTTTACTTAATATTTTTTAACGTTTAGCTAGACTATACGAGTTATTTAAAAGTGCTTTATTTTGGAAAATTAAATGATGATAACAAAAAAAAATTCATCTTTCGTTTGAGATATCCTGGTGTAGAAAGGACAGGGGTAAATATATTAGTATTAAGGAGATTAAATGAATAATAATATAGGCAATGTATTATAATTGAAAATATATTTCCTAATTTAGGTATAATAATCTTTTATCACTTATAGGTACCGACTTTTAGTAATGTAGTTAAGTCTTACACTCTTACGCCATATAGGTAGGTATTATTACTTATACATATTGCCCATATTGGAATATTGCTAGTAAGTAATAAGTAGTGTAGGTACCTACTAACCTACTTGGTGTGACATGTGCAAGTGCTTCTTCAGCTATGCAACAGCAACATAGCCTATCTATATATTTACAATCAAAAATTATTAATTTGGCAATTATAAATTACTAATACCGAAAAAATGTATMATTACAGCCTGATAGGTATAATTAAATATTAATTATTAATATCCTTAAAATGGTTCTTATTAGAATAAAACCGAAACAAGAATCTCGAATTTTGGATTACATTTGGTTACAAAATGATTACATAACCTCCTGAAAATGTCAAATCAATCAGACCATTTTGAAAAGCACTTGGTTTTACGCGTAACGTCACGATGATGGTGATCGCCGAACTAGAATCGGTTTTACGGGATTCGAGTTAAGTCAGGGATCTCGAATTTTGGATTACATTTCGTTACAAAATGGTTACATAATGTTGTGAAATTTTGGTGTAAAAATTTTAAACTTGGGGTGCTGGAGTGACGGACCTTTTATCTAACACATCGTGTGAAACAGGAATTTAGACGTGTCTTCATTCCAAATTCCCAAAATACACCTAACCTAACCAATTGATCTTGTGAAGTGATACGAATTCTAAAGAAAATTCGATTTGAATTTGTCGTCTATTCTAGGTACCTACTTGATATAGACTTTATAATAGGTGTTTTTTTTTTTTTTTTTTTTTTTTGTGACTGTCATCACGTTTTGGAGCAGTAAAAATAATTTGATTTTCGACTTCAGTACCTTGTTAGATCAGAAAGTGAATGTAGTTGGTACTTTTGGGGGGTTAAAAGTTGGGATAAACAAACTAAAAATTAAGGAAAAAATGGGAATTTTTATACACAACAAATTTTCGACAAAATCGATTTTGGTTTTTGAAGTAACTTTACAACAAATGTCAAATGACTATATAGGTACATGAAATTTTCACCATATGTTTATATAAGTATATTCTATTCACCATGCAATTTTCAAAAAATGTCGACTTCAGTTGAACTATTTATAGGATTTATATGCATATGCAATTTTCGATAATTATTAGTTATTTTTTAATTAATATTGATAAAAATTTATTTGTTGAGTAGAAAAGCTTGAAAAWTTAATACAAGGCTCCTAACATATTGTTACAATAGCAGTTGAAAAATAAAAAAAAATACATAGACACAATTTTTTTACAAGCATTCAAAGTTTGAATTTTGACAACATACGTAAAAATCATGAAAATTCGCAATTTATTTTAAGCTAGAAATTCGTAAAATGTTTTCTTTTTAAATCTAAGATTTGAACATTTTTCATAATCTATAATATATCCTATACAGATAAATCGTCTCCGTTCTGAATCGTTTTTCGTACCTATACAATGATATAATATCATTGGATTCAAATTTAATTCAATCCATTAGTCATTATACAGTAACCCACTTGAACCTATACTGTACAGCAGAGTGACATCCTCGACTTACCCGCTTTTTGCTTTTTAAATTATTATTTTAAATTTTTAATTTGGAGGTCCATGATGACTTAGAACCATCTTATCTTTACGCCACTGAGCACAGTCCTTTCACCCAAAGTTTATAATCTGCTTGTGAGACTGTAACATACTTAGGTATATAGTCATATAGATATTTTATTATAATAATTGTAATAATTTCAACTATGTTGTTATGGTTTAACTGTTTAAGATTTAGTTGAATCCGTCGAGCGCTGAAGGCTGAACTACTTCCGGTTTATTTATAGGTTAGGTACCTACCTAGCTATCTATAATATTATGAATATATCTATATAGTATACTTCTCCCTATTTTTTTAATCAAATATTTATGGTAATATGGTCTAGTGATTTTGTTCATTAACCATGTTTTCAGTATGTAGGTACCTGTGCATAATATCACTACCTATATATCAAAATATATTATGTTCGCTTTCAGTTACCTATGTTCATTCGTTGAGCTTATAAGTATATTTATAAAATATGCACACTCATCACACGAAGTATACCTATTGTATATAATATATATTGTGTCACATTCTATTACACATTTCCGCATGCCATTATTCTGGGTTTGGATTAAATTAAATATATTCCATGTATACTATGTAGGTATATAGGCACCCGCACCATATAGCTTCAACGTACCTATCCGTTACCAATACACTAGGTATAGGCATATAGCCCACGGTAGGTACCTATAGGTATAACAGCCAATTCGGTATAGGTACAACTAGCATTTGTGTATTTTATAATAAAAACAGGAACCGGAAATAGGTTTACGGTTACGGTTAACAGTTTTTAATACTATATGTCCTTTCTGATTTAGAGTTAGGCATGTGTATGCTGCAATATAATTATTTATATAGTTCAATACCTACAACCAGCTACTACAAACAGCACACAATTGCAGTATTCCAAATGTAGTCAACAAATGAACGCTAACATTTTTCTATTATTAAAACATGGTGGAGTGTTAAAAATGGATAAGTATATTACTAGTTAGCTTAAAAACGTAATAATAATACAAAATTCGATTTAAAATAAGTTGAAGTACCTTTGCTATCTATATTAATTTGGCTTCATTATTTTTTAAAAGCGAAATTTAAATTTAAAGTAAGTAACTTATTAATTGTACCTACCGTATATAATTTAAGCTATATAGCCACATTAATAAGATGAGTAAAATATGTAGCAATAAATGTCTCAAGCACCAACATTTTGTGATCAAAAATTTCTTTACTTGTGAATCATTAAAACTTTTAAAATTAAAATTATTTTAATAACGACATATTATGTTCAAAATGGAAATACCTAACCAATGTGATAATAACCAGTGATCGAAAATTATTAATATACCTATTTTACTACCTAATAATAGTTTCTTTTTCCAAATTTGTTGTGATTCAATAGACATAGGTATAAGTAATTTAAAAAAATACTCTTAACTTAAACTATAACTTAATTTAAACTACACTATAAAACTCAAAATATGCACTTATTATTATAGAATCTAGAATGTAGGTATGTAAAATATCGTGTAAGTTACTTATTTAAACTTGAATACTTGATAAAATAATACCTAACATTTTAATATTCAATAAATTTAAAATAGGTACTTACCTTATTTAACTAAACCTATTAAAATTATTTGTAAGTAGGTACCTATAGTTATGTTTGGTCAAGCAAGTATAATATAAGACCTCATCTTAGGGGGGGAGCGATTTTTTTACGAATAGTCTGAATTCTCCATAATATATTTTTATTATAAATGCCGGTATGGCGGTATGCTTTTATAAAAAAAAAACGATTCTAGTTTTTAATTTTATTTTTGCGGGGAATTTGTCTTGCTGTTATAAAAATAGACTGTTATACCTACAGACTTGAGGTAGGGCGATCGCCCTAATGTGCCTACTGCCTATGAATGATATTGAAAAAATTTAATATTAATTTGCTTAGGTATAGTTTATTACATTTATTTTTATTTTGTTCATTGATATGATCTACGACTTACCTGATTATGTGAAAAAAACAAAAACAACGTACATATATGATGAATTAAAATTTATAATCAGGATTCGAGTAGCATGCACTCATCAATTTTACTTTTTTTTTTTTGGGGNAAAAACAACGTACATATATGATGAATTAAAATTTATAATCAGGATTCGAGTAGCATGCACTCATCAATTTTACTTTTTTTTTTTGGGGGGGGGGAGCTTGCGACCCTGTGCGTGTACATGTTATGGATGTGTCATGTACACTGTATAATAGTGTATATTTACATTTTTAAAATAATATATTTTTAATCCAATTTACCTAATATTATGTATCTACCAATCTACATATTGCAATACTACGTTAACCTATCTGCTAGGTACCTATCTACTGATTAAGTAGAAAGACTTAAGATAACACATAAAATATTTGTCTACTCCATTATATATATAGGTACACAAATATGAATGTATAGGTACAAGCAACAGAATAATTACCTATTTTACAAAGCTTCAGTATTTTATGTACCTATACTTAAATAAAAGTAATCTTACTTTTAAAAATTAACGCGAATATAATACTCAACAAACATCAAATATAATATACACAAATACCAACCACGCACAAACAATTAAGGCGCATATCACATACCTAAGTATTTATAATCTAGCATTAAATGCCTTTAAGTTAATTCAAAAATCAAAAATGTACAGTACATTACCTACCGTCTACCACTAAAAGTCTAAAAATTAAACATGGAAGGTATACCTAGGTACCAAAATCTTTCAAGAAAACTAAGTTCCCTTTATTATGTTTTTTTAAACTTATGTAGTATGTATAGGTACCTAATTCGACAAATTAAGATCGATGGTGCAATCAGAATTTGTCGTTCAGGCTCATCTTTGAAATTATAGCCATATGAATTTCATCGATATGTGTACCATTTATTATTCTTATGATCATGGCGTAAAAATATACTCATAATTTTATTTAAGGGGCATAGGCGTAAATTGGGGGGGGGGGCTTAGCCCTCCTAAAAATAGTATAGCCTTGTTATAAATTTCTAATGTTATAAATTATAATCTTAGCGTTAGCCCCCCCTTCTAGCAAGCCAAATTTACGCCTATGTTAAGGGGKCTGGAGCAACCTTCATATCCCATGCATTTATACCAATAAGCAAACGTAAAATAAACATACTTCAAGTTCCTCGATTTTAATTTTGAAAACTACATCTGATTTGTGCTTATTTATTCTAGGTTTGCTCAGAAGTGAATTTTTGTTTTTTAATATATTTTATCAAGGAGTGTATGAGTTACTGATGTAGAAGAAATTTGTAAATTTGTAATGGTACTATAATAGTAGCATTCCACTAAATAATTTTATCTATTAGTATTCAGCGGAATATCTGAATATATTATAGGTACCTACCTAGTAGTAGTTAGGTATATATTATCACCTACTGCCATTAATATTTAACATCTTGAAATATAAACTATAGAAAATAGGTTTTTTCTTGATAGCATTATTGTAAAATTGTATAATATCTATTCAATAAATTTTTATACAATGTAGAAAATTAGAGTAGCAATTTTAAGAGTAGGTACTTATATTAAAGTTAAAATTCCTTTAATAATGAGTATCAATATATTTAAAAAATGTAAATACATGGTACTCTGATACTCAACATTAAAATCCTCCTTTCATAATTGCATACATTTTTGCAGATGATTATATATAGGTAGACCATGTGGAATTCTGAAGGAAAAACATTGAATGAAAATAATAGTGCACATTGTAAAGCAATATTCAAACAAACTTTTAAATTTACCAAAGATATACCAGAACAAAGAATTTCACCAGAAGGATTTTTAATAAGAGACTGTGGTTGTGTTATGAGATTTTTACCTAATTTAGATAATAAATTAAGTAAATATTATGCACACTAAAAATATATCTAATGCTTACTTAAATAAAAATGTTTTATTTGTACATTAGATAAGAATAAGTTACAGCGCACAACTATTAACAAGAATMAAAATCAAAAAAGCAGCAGTTATACACACCATCGTAATAATTTAAATCACACAAAAGTTATTTCAACAGAAATGTACAAATATATTTTGTATTTATATTTTATTAATCATTATTAATATATAATCTAATGATATTTTATTTCGTTATGAAATATGGAGCAATATATATTTTTATTTTATTTGTAACAAAAATTATACGTAAATTTCCGTTAATATTCTTTCAAAAATTATTGAAGGTACCATTTAATTCACCTAATACATTTACATTATTTTGAGGCTATTTTAAAAACTTATATTCAGTTGATAAATTTTTAATAATTATAATTTTGATAATATTTCAAAACAAACATTTTTATATGCCCATATGGCCATATCTTATATACATCTTATCTAAAAAAATTATTTTTTAACAATTTCTTTCACATCAACAATTATATGTTGTAAACAAAAAAATTAATAATATTTTATTGTTGGTTTTTCAAATTCAAATGTAAAAATAAACAAATATTTATAACCTATCAAACAGGCCTTTCATATAGTTGTTAAATAATAGTAATTAATTTTAGGTATCAATCAACATTTTGGATGGAACCAAGAATAGTTCCAGTTAAGTATACATCGGAACTAAATTTCAACTTAGAATCTCCCATAAGAAAATTTACAGAAACAATTGATTTACAGGTAATACAAATTATTATTTTGTTACTTGACATATTATATTAGCTTAAGATAGTATTATGTGAATTATTTTAATTTTATATTATTATTATTTTTTGTTTATTAAGATAAAATATTTACTAAGTGTACATGGTAAATATAATAATTAATAATTGAAATGCTTATAAAAAGGTTACACGGATAGTAAATTTAGAATGAATTTTATTACCTACAGTGAAAGAGTTGTTCCCATTGACAATAAAATTCAAATTTTTATTTTTTATGAGTTATTTAAATTTTAAATTAATTTATATTATTTTACAAGTACTAAATGTGTGTATATATTTTTATTTTAGATGAAATTAGTTGCTTGCCCGTATATTCAACAAATTGGAACTACAAAACGTTTTAAAACATCAATTGAGACAAAAATCCAATCAGAGTTTACACTACCATTAGATACTACTAGTTAACTTCATAATTACCAATAGTAAACAATAAACAGTAGAACTAGTTATGAGTAATCTATAAGGGATATATTAAACATTAATTTAATCAATAATAAATCGAAACAATTAAGCATTAACACAATAAAATAATAAATATATTATTAAAAATAAGTAAACAGGTAGTATTATTAACAAAATTTGTATTAAAAATTAAATAAAACAAAAATAATAATTATATTTATTGTGTATTCATTTTTGAGTCGGTAATTTCTTTTCCTCCAGTTTCACATGGTATACTAGGTATTTGCCATCCTTGTATCGATATTTCCTAGAAAAATTGTTTTAAAATAATATTATAAGTAATCAATGAAATTAATGAAAGATTTAATGTAGTTGACAGAATACATTTAATTTCAAATATATAGCTTAGACAGAAAACAAAATATGATGTGCTATTTAAAAATTTAAGTAGTCATAAAGCTGCAATTAAATCATGCATTGGTTTATACAATTTTAACTATAAAAATAAATAACCATATGATTTTGATTTAAGACTATTTCACATTGCTTTTGTATTTTTAACAATTAATTATCATGTAGGTAATGAATCTTCAACTATTTTCATTATTGTGTTGTTAATTTATTACTACTGGTTATTAACTTAAAATCACAAATTCACACCTGTATTTCATCTAACTGTGGCTGTACATTTATTGTAGGTTCTAAACTACTCCCGGAAATTTCATTATTTTCTTGTGGTGTATTAAAACAAGTATCTAATGAATGCAATGATACTGTTTCGGCAGAATGGATGTCCCAAGAATCAACATCTGTACAAGAAGAACTTGTACGAGTTCTTTCAGCAGGTTGAATAACCTATACAATATTATTCTACATGCATTTCCATTCGTTTATACTGATTATGAGTAGTTATAATAATTACCATTAACATGAGAAAACTAACCTGTGGTGTCATAGTCCATGAGGGTAAACTGGAACATAAAGGATCATAATCATCAATACTAACAGTCACTTTGTTACTAGTTTCATCACAATCATCAATAATAGTATAAACTTCTTTTAATACTGCAAATTGATCCATAAAATTATCCTATGGAAATTAATAAAAAAATATGTTGAAACACAATTATTTGAAGTATCTTATTTGTGGGATTATAATTTAGAAATACATATTTTTTAAATAACTTATTATATAGTTTTAAATATGTATCAAACAGGCACATTTTAAGTGTATTAAATTCATCAATATGTAAATATCATAAATAGTACCTTAAAATCAGACATTTCATTCTTAAGCTTTAATGCATCATCAACAATCATTATATTTCTTCTTTTTAAATCTGCCAATAGTGCTAACTGTTCAAACATTTGATGCATCCCCTAAATTGATTCATATTATAGAAGTTTAAAATGTAAGAATTAATTATAATTCACATCAGTGGCAGCCCATGTGTATTTTAGTGAAATAGCGTACATTCAAAAATATAATTGCTCAAAGATCATATGAATAATATGTAAAATATTAGACAATTAGTTATTGTTTGTTTAATATGTTAATATTTATCTATTATTGTATTCAACATATATTATAATATTGTTCAGTAAAACTTATTATTTTAATTTTTAAATAACAATACAATTATGACAAAAACAGAACAAACTTTGAATTTTATTACTAGAGTAATGTATACAATTGACATTTTAAATAAAAATGTTTAAAATAGGTAAATTACAAATTAAATGATAATATAATCACTATTTAAGTATGGTAGAAGACACAAAGACTTTATTTTATCAGAATATAGAAAACAAATTCGGTTAAAAAGTAACATGTAAAAACTTTGAAATATAAAATTCATAAAATCTCAAGGAATCAGTTTAATAATAATTTGATGTTTGCAATTGAATTATTATTTTTTCTTATTGAAATTGGTTAGACATTGCACATACACATGGATCACCAATGAATCACATAATATTAAATGTCTTTATTTACTTCACATATAATTAATGCTGAATCCCAAGTATCAGATACTAATGTTCCATTCATGTACTGCTCAAATTCTTCAATATTCATACTAAGAAGTTCTGCATTAATATTTTCAATAAATGATACAGCACAACACTGAAAAAAATAGTCAAAAAACTTTCAGTGAATAAGACAATATACAACGCTATATAATTAGAATAATTGATTAATTTTGGATTGCATGACAAAATTGAATAGTTCAATGAAATTTCATGGACCAACCATTGGCTACTAAATCATGTTTAAAGGATCATTAATTCAGTATTGATTCATTAAGAGAATGTCAGTGAACTTTATGTTTTCTCTCTCTGGCCCATGCTCAACATAGACAAAATGCATTTACGCAGATTTATTTTTCTTTGTTTTTAAGTAATCTTAAGGTAAAATTCATTACAAAAAAAATAGAGAACAATATTTTTGAGGGTATGACATATCGATTGGTCTAAATGGTCTCAAAACAATTTAAACACCATTTAAATTTACAATATTTTTTTGTTTTAAAAGTTGAATACAAAATCATAATATCAATATGTTATTCGCTCAAAAAGATTTTTATTCATTTTTCTTTTAATGGGTAATTTTACTCTAAGATAACTTTAAAATACAAAAAAAAAATGATTTGCGTGAATGCGTTTTGTCTATGTTGCGTATCGGCCAGAGAAAGAAAACAAATAGTGCACTGACATCCTCTTAAATGTTAAGTGATTGTTCATACAACCCAGCATATTAAGAATACTTAATAATATCTTTAATACAAGTGGTGAATTTTAACAAAAATACGCTATTCTAAAATGTAAAATATTAATATTTAAGTACCAAATTGGTAAAATAATATCCAGCTTCTCCAGACATCAGCCTCGAAGCATTACAAAATCTAGTCACATAATGCAAATTAGACTTAAGTCTAACTGGATTTGCTTTAAGAACAACAAATATGAGAACAGGCAAGAAATCATCAGCAGATGCAGGTCCTTTCATTCCATTGTTTCCACCTTGCAAAACTCCAAATATATGCCGACAGCATCTAACAACACATGCCAATTTGTCTTGTGGTGCTGTAGCTGAATCCATATCTAATAATTCTAGAATAGCTTTATACACCAATTCAATAATCTGAGCATTAGTTTTGTCAATATCACAGTCTAGATGTTTAGCATTCACCCAATTTAATTGACGAATCCTAAAATAGAATTATTTAAACTTTGATTATATTATATATTTTTATTATACTTATTTTCAAATAATAATAAAAAAGTTTTTAAGTTTTTAATTTTTATTGTTTATTTATTATTTTACAAACATTTGAGAATTAATATGGGTATTAATTATTTTAGTAACTAAAGAACATTTTATGATTAAAAATGTTTCAAAATAGTTATCAATCCTTAAAAGCACAAAGAAACAGAAAGTGGGTTGACCGTACTGTCTCTGTAAAATAATACAAACTGATTGCTGCCTTTAGAGGTCAGTGTACCTGTCAGCTATGTCAGCTTACTCTCTGTTTGACTGCTTCTAATGAGGACACTACACCGTTTACACCACATGTGTAGTGTTCGTCTTACATATGTATATACAACATAATAAAAAATTGTTTGCACAGGATAGAACCACTTAGGCTCTAGTGACAGTTAAGACTCTAAATTGCTATACAATATAGTTGAAAACATTATCTGTGAAATAATATTTTTATTATTTGATACCACTTGTATGAAAAAAGTTCTTACTGTTTCACAACCCATCCAATAAATTATTATGTAGTTTTATAATTAAAAAAAATTAAAACTGTTTTGTTTTTGTCTTTTCAGAGTAAAACGGATTTTGCTGTTTTACATATGTAAGATACAACACACGAAGGTGTAGAATCTTCTTAATGAGATAAGACTATAAGACCCATATATTACAAAAATTAAATAAGAATTAAAAGCATTTAAATAAATTATCTTAGGTTTAATCATATCTACCACACATAATTCTAAACACAATAATATATATTTTTTTGTTACTAAATTATATTTAATTAGTTAATAAAATACCGTTTCTGTATAGCTAAATCTTCCTCTTCGTCAGCCAAAGTCATACAAAATAAAAACTTATATAGTTTTATCATAGAGTATTTTTCTGTATAATCCAAAATTTGTTCTTTTTTTTCTTGACTCAATTCTGAAATACATTTGCATAAAAAAATTGATCACGGTTATTAAAAATTAAAATTAAATATTTTAAATGGAATATAATATATATTAGAATATAATCTCAGGTTAATCAATTATGTGGAATTACTAATTAGAGATATTTGCTTCATGTTTATGGTTGATAAAAAGTAATTACATACTTAATAAAAGCATCATCAAGTGAAAGACAATTGATCATAAATCACTTATGAAATGTATAGGTAATCTATATTATGTAATATTATAGTCATTTTCAACCGTTCAATATGAAAGTAAGGATAAGCAATCTAGTTTATATTTATTGAATAATGAACACCCGGTATAGCAAAATACCGATTTTTAAAATTTTATTGGCTCTTAAAAGTTAACGACCTATACTCTAATAAAATATAATATTTATTGTCAATTAGTATTCATATTTTATTGTTCAGAGTAAAGGTATTAAAATATTTTTAGTCATATATTATTAAGTTAGCTACATTTTATGTGGCCCACTGAGTAAATTTAGTAGCATTACAGGCTAATTTAAGCCTACCTAAACATTGAGCTTACTTAAAAATATAATACATTAAAACAACTATAGTATACAATACCATCATAAGAATAGTTATTATTCAGCATATCCAGAATATTTTGATAAAAATGTTGAGTGAGTTCAGACTGAATATCAACAGGGCTTTGTAAATGTGACATCATCATCATTTGACAAAAATTGTGGATTTGTTTTTTTAAATCGGAACGCAAAGATTTTGTTTCAGACAAAATAGGCATATATTCTACATCTAATTGATCCAACTTCTTCGCAATAATTGGATCATAATCTTTTTTAGATTTTTCAGATATATCGTCTAAAAATAAAATATAATTTATTACATTAAACTTGTAGTATTTATATTTAGGTATACACATAACAAATTTAATAATTTAATGCATAGTCAATTATTGAATTATCAATACCATTAATAGGTTTTAGATTCTGAGTGGAGTGATAAATGTATTGATTTTACATATGTGTCAGTGACTTACTCTTTAAGTATGAGGTAAACTCACTACCTATTGTACAGCAGAACAACCACTCACTTTCCTGCTTTTTCAACAAGAATTGATCAAGAATGTATGAATATTTTGTAAATTAGTTTTTTTCTAATTCTCGCATTGTTGAAAATAACCTTTCTGCACTCTGTGGTAGCTGTTCTAATGAGTTAAGTTGCCATGATTTTTAACAGTTTTTTGACATTTGGATAGTCATCTGTATTACAATTATTAAGAAACTTTGATAAATTAGATGGAATTTTAGACAAATTTTGTAGAGAAGTCTATCATAATTTAAGTTCTACAATAACTATTAAAGAAGAAAAAGATGGTAATAATTGTGAATATTATTTACTAAATCTGTTGTCATTTTCAAAAGTATCTGAATTATCTTTCTCTTTAATCGGAAACAAACAATTTAGGCTTTTCAACAAAGATTTATGTTTTAATAAATGATCACTTATCATTATTATAAAATTATCTAAATATGGAATAAATATTGTCACTCTGTAATATTCTTCAAGCGTGGTAACAGGTGTATTATCTAGATGTACTTTTTTACCAACACGACAAGGCAAAGAAATATTGATATTGGAATTCTTACAAAATAGTTCTGCTCTTTCAAATATTAATTAAAAATATTTTTCAACATTTTTTCTCATTTCTTTTAAAACATTTATAGAATTATCAGCCATATTAATAACATGAGATAAATCAAATCCAGGTAGTTGTAAAAGTTTATTTAGTTGTAAACTAACAGCAAATACTATTGATATTATGTGTACAGTAATCTGGAATTCAAAGTTATTATTCACAAAATGCATATTCCAACTGCTTATTTTTTCTATAGCATCAATTACACCATCTTGTAACTTTAGATAAATTAATACCGAGTCATGGCGCTGCACCCAACTAGGAAATAAACTAGGAACATAAATATTGGATATTAAAATATTTTCTATCCAATCACTTAGGTATACTAAAAATTAAATTAAAAAATATCTTATCATAATGGAATGTTTAGACGTCTTAAAATGATGTTAAATTAAAATAAAACAAATAAAATGGGACACAAATGTCAAATATAAAAGAATAAACAGTATTAAATGAAGTAAAACAGTGAGACATGAACGGCAACGACTAACTATTAGTTTTACACAATAATGAGCTTGTGTGAAATGATCGGCGAGCTGCAAATGCATTCGATATACCTAAAATAAACTTTGAATACTGACAATGATATTGCTTTTATCGCTGTTATCGGACCAGACAACAGATTCAGCGAACCGATTTAGAATCTACCATTGTAGGAAACCCAAACACAGAATATATATTCTGTGAGTTGTGACACAAATAATATGTTCCCAAGCAAAAATGATCAAAGTAGTAAATATAATCATAATATTATGACTTGCGTGTGTATAATGTGCAGCGTGTGTAGAATACGTTTATAGTGTTTATACAAACTACTAATATAATTTCCAAGTCAAAATTCTAAAATATAAAAATGTTAAAGAAATAATTGTGTTTCATGTAAAAGTTAATTTCCCATCTCAGATTCATGGGGGGGGGGTGTTCTGACCCCACTCCCAATGGCATAATTAAGGGGAGATGAGGAGGATAGATCTCCTCAAAGCCTTTATAATATATATATATATATACATATATAATATTTATTTATTACTTTGTGGTGGGATTATGAGCTGATATAAAAAAAAATTTTTTTAATAATTTTATGTATACAGGGTGATTCTTTTACCAAACAACACTTAAATGGTGTTAGTGTGTAAATACCACCTAACATACACCTATAACACATAAACACCACCCAAAACCACCCAACTTTGGGAGGCTATATCTTGTTAACGGATTAACAAAAAATGAAAATTTAAACATGAAAATTCATTGAAAAAATAGCCWTTTTAGTTTATGAAATTTTAATTATAGGTTGTCATTTGAAAATCAAAAGTTGATAATGGTTAACCTGATAAATATAAGGGTGAAAATATTTAAAAAATATATAGTTCTAGAACAAGATGGTTCTAAAATTTTGAAAAAAGTCAATAGTTTTTGAAATAATTAGTGTTGTTTGATAAAAGAATCACCCTGTACAGTGTTCTGTGAGGATTTACCCATTGCGATATCTCCCAAGAGAATTGTGATATTTAAATTCTGGTTTTGTAATAAAACTCACAGGTATAAGAACTACAATTGTTTCATATTTTAATTTATTTCAATGTTTTGGTAAAAAAGTTAAAAATATATTTTTATATTTAATTATTTCCAAAAAAAATAAAGATATCCATTTTGTGGAGTTTATTTTTCTGAAAATATTGACGTTTCAAAATTTTATTTTCATTAATTTCCTAATTTTTATTATTTTTTTTAGTTTCAAGAAAAATTGCTGATTATTTAACACCAAAATGTTATCAAACATGTGACCCACCACGCCGCGCGCATTCCCATACAGTCAGCCGAATACTTTCCGTGTTCCTAATAGTTATAAATTTATAATCATATTTTATTTCTTCAAAACTAGAAAAAATATAAAAAATCAGGAAATTAATGGAAATAAAATTTTGAAACGTCAATATTTTCAGAAGAATAAACTCTAAAAAATGGATATCTTTAAGTTTTTGGGGAATAGTTTGATAAAAAAATATATTTTTTAAATTTTTTACGAAAACGTTTAAATAAATTTAAAAATGAAATAATTGTAGTTATCCCTGTGAATCTTATTATAAAACCAGAATTTTGATATCTCTATTATTTCGTGAGATATCGCAATGGGTAAATCCTCGCGGGACATGTATATGATACATTAGCTTTAGGATTTTAATGAAGTAGTATCCCAGAAAATAATTCACCGCTGTACTTAGAAAATAARTTTTGTGTGTAGAAAAATGTCCGCCCCTCTAATGGACAAATTCCTAATTACACCACTGTAAAATTATACTCTACTTAATTTATTAGTTTGATTTTTCTATAAATAATCATCATATGGAATGGCTTTGCGTAAACAAAGTAGTTAATAAATCATTTAATAAGTAAAAAATATGATATGACTGAAACTAGACCATATTTAAATTACTTTGTAAATACTAGAAGCCTATGTATTTAAATATATACTTAAAATAATATTGAATTGAAGATTTAAAACTTAAAATTGGTGAATTTTCAATAAAATAAAACCAAGAAATGCAATATAGTTGGTCTGTATATGCGTAAAAAAATCTGTTTTAACAAACCTTTGGATTTAATAGTATTAAACATTTTCAAATATGACAATTTGGACTTTTTTTCAGTAGAACCAACTTTTTTAAAATCTTGTTTTTCATTAGTCTTGTTAATTGGTACCTTTCTGAAACATATATTAAGGAAGGAGTTAAAATTAGTTGGTTAAGTTGTTTATGTTAAAACACTGGTCAATGTTAAGGCTCCTGTTATCACTCATGATTGTCTATTAGCCTCAATATAAATAAATTCTTACGACCCCATAACATAATCAATTACTATATGAGATGTTGATAGAATTATAATAGTTAGAAATGTATTTAGAGTAAATAGTTGGATTATAAAATCAAATACAAATGAAAAAAAAAAACATTTACCAAAATTTAACAATTTTAAAATCAATGATATTTTAGATAGAATATATCTCAAATGAACTAAATATTAATTTCTGTGCTATGAAAAACTGATAAAATATAATTGTAAAATTTTTTTAAAATTAATTACATACTTAGGTGAAGCATTCATTCGCCGATGTCTTTGTATGTCTTTATAACATTTTGAACAAAATCCATCCCATTGAGGATTACCATAATAATCACATCCATTTGMTTTTTTACATTTCAATTCAGCTTCTCCAATGCGAAAATTACCTTTTTTAAATGACATCATTTTGATGATAAATAAACCTACAAAATGTTATTGATTTAAAACAACAAATAAAAAATATAAGGCTATAAAGTACATATAATATTAATTGATATTAGTCACAAGACAAAAAACTGTTTTTATTTAAATTATCTTTATATCAATATAATTAGTTTATAATATAATATATAAATTATAAAAACAATAAGAATAGTAATATTAATAGTGAATAAATACAATTATACAAACCGTCTGTTCAAATGAAGTCCTAGTTGAATGAAAATAAATTTATTTAGTTTTAATGAAAATTAAAAAGAATTAGGGTAGCATTTATTAAAAATAAAAACTATTAATTATCAATATAGTTACAGCATGGTACAGTAACTAGAACATAGTAGTTATTACTTAGCACAATTTAAAATAGTAGTAAATGTGATAGGTACCTAGTTAGAAGTTTCTAGATATAGGTATTAGTTAATACTCTGAAAAACTAATACTATAATTATAGGTATCATGATGATGACCAAAATTAACTGTTTTAAGCATTAAATATTAAGATTAACTATAAAAATAAAATATAATATTGTAAGTTTTTTAACAACTAACATTTAACAAGTATGAAGACGAGTGTTATCAAGTTATCACTTTATCCTTTATCTTCTCTACATCATTGTAACACAGAACAGTATATATATGTTTATGCACAGAACAATTTATTGTTCTGTGATTGTAAATAAAGTTTATCTGATAAACACTCATTATCTATTATATTTTATAGCTTAACTCATAGATAAAAGATAAAGCCTTAAGCCTAAGGCTAGTTTGAATATTATGCTTTATTGCTCTAGTAGTTAAGTTACTTATTTCACAGTTCACACCCGCTTAACTTTTGAAATTTATTCTGTGGTATAGTTACTATCTATTAAGTATCAATAGTTATAATTTCTTGTTTTAATGTGTTATTAATTGTTAATAGTAATTCACAAATATATCTTTAATTTAGGTATGAACAGAAGATTATCTGTTACCTATTGCTGATTAGTACATTATTTCCACATTACGCAATAAAATACGCATTATAATTATTTTTTCTATTAACATTCAACATCTGTTATTGTTCTATTCGTTATTAACATTTGAAATATCTTTTGTGTCTGGGGAGTTGGAACCAGAAAAAAATTGGTTGTTTTAGAAGTCATTGAGGTAATTTTGCTTTAATATTAATTTTACTATGTTAGCTACTTTCAAAATCGTATTATTTTGGAGTATGAAAATTAGATGTTTCATGTTACGAGATGCAATTTTTTCTAGCTAAAGTATTTATAACTACCTAGTATAAATATTAAAATTATTATTTTTGTATACAAAATACTTTGTTTTGATAGTGTGTAATATTATCTAAACATCATCTTATACATTTGATTAAAATAATTCTGATGCTTTACCTTTCAAGTATAACTTGAATTCTTTTGTGATGTATTCCATGAGTACAATTAATTATAACTGTTTAATAGTGTGTTAATTAATTTAAAGATCCTATATTTTTATTAAATATTTAATTTTCTCATATGAAATATTTTAATTCATAATCTATTACAGATTATTTGAATTAATAATTATAAATAACTTAGATAATTTTATTAATTACAGGTTATAAGTACATACCTATAAACTAATTAAACAATTTTGATGGATCCATCAGTTTTAACAACATTAAAAATTTTACTAATTGGTCAAAGTGGAGTTGGAAAATCATGGTAAGTTGTTTTTGATTTGAATTGAGGAAACTAATCTACTGTTTAAGAATTATCAATTTTTTATACTTTTTTTAGTTAACAATAATATGTCAATATCAATAGTTAAATTAGATACTTATAATAATAATAATAATAATAAAYTGATTTAATGATTGTATTGAGTATTACTATTTATAAATATTATAAGAATTTTTCCAATGTAGGTACTAGATTGGTAAATAATTTGAAATTATAAACTTGCTAAATTTTTATTTTTTTTTGCAATTATTATTTATTATAGGTATTAATGTCATAGCTATATTATATTCATAATGTCTAACAAGACGTTATACCTGCATGACCTGCATGTGTTGTCTTCGTTTTACAAGTGCGTAATGTAGCAAATTTTACGCTCAGCAAAACATGCGTATAAAGCTTTGTTAGTTTAAAATATAGAGTGAATTACCTCTAATAAAATTTAAAGGTTAGATTATTTAGGGCTTCTCATAGGTTTTTTATTGTATTTTAATTTTAAAGCAAGTTATGAATATTTTAAGATATACAATTTTAAAGTTTAAAATACTCATAACTTGCTAGATAATAATCTTACCTTCAAATTTTATTAGAGGTTAATTTACTCTAAATTTTAAGCTAACAGAGCTACGCCTGTTCTGCTGAGCGTAAAATTTATTATAGTCTGTCTTACAAAAGAACGGGACCGTTTTGCGCATGTAGAATGAGCTACACCGTTTACTCCTCACCATGACTGCTGGTGACCAAGCGATGATCGTCGTCATCGTTGTAGCGCTGCGGTGTGGGGATGCGCAAGAATGACCGATTTTGGTCGATACACGGTCCCGTTTCTTTCGTGAGACAGTATACATTACGCTCTTGTAAGACAAAGATAACACATGCATGCAGGTATCACATCCTTTTAAATGAAAATATATGTTTAAGTATCTAAATTGTAATTAATTTGGCCCGCTCTGCTAAAAAGATATGCGTGCACCTATGCTATATTTATTTTATGTTTAATATTTCTAGTATATTTAAGTTTAACATAATTACCATACATAATAATTCAATTCAATATAAGTATATTTGTTTTTAGTTTGTTATGCAGATTTACTGATGACACATTTAATGACGACAATGCAGTCACTATTGGTGTAGATTTTAAAATGAGAAAAATAACTGTTKATAATAATAATATTAAGCTAGCTCTATGGGTAAGTAATTAAATATCTATTAAATATTTAAATATAATACGAGCCAATAGATTCATTTAGAATAACATTTTAGGACACAGCTGGTCAAGAAAGGTTTCGTACTCTCACTCCAAATTATTACCGTGATGGTCAAGGTGCGGTACTTGTATATGATGTTTCAAACCGAGATTCATTTACATGTTTAGAAACATGGATTAATGAACTGAATAGATACTCTACCAAAACCAATATTATTAAAATGGTTGTTGGTAACAAAATTGATAAGGTTAATGTTTATAATATTATATACAATATGTAGGTATAATAATTATTATAATTATGTTTTATTTGTTAAATTATAACAGAATTACTGAATATTTATTTTTAAATTCTATGAATTGCAGTTTATATGCTAAATTTAAAAAAAAAATAGCATATTGTTCATAATTATAATACGCTTTGTTAAATATACTATGTCTAGTATGTATGTATGTAGTATGTATTTAACTAATGAGTTTCACCATCAAAGTTTTTATGAAACATGATTCAACAATATAATTTGGATATATTAAATACTGTTTTTAAATTGTTAATATATCGATATATGTATTATAAATATGTTCATTATATAAACAATAATTATTAATTATAGGAAAGACAAGTCACTCGAGAAGAAGGTATTGCTTTTGCTCGTCGTCATCAAACATTATTTATTGAAACTAGTGCAAAAACCAAAGAAGGCGTTTATATGGCTTTTGAAGAATTAGTTAGAAAAGTAAGTAAATTATTTATGAAGTACTCGGGTTTATTAATTTCCTTTTCATGTATCTTATTAACATAAATAAACTAAATAATAAAATATTAATAATTTTAAAATTTATTTTTATGGCTAAAAAACAGATGTAAGAGTGAACTTCTGTTTTTGTTATTATTATTATTGTTTAACCATTAATTAATAATCTATGTTTAAAATCACTTTCTACTGAATAATTGATCTGTGTAATAAATATCAAATTTTTCTTTAGTATAAGTAATATCAGAAAAAAATGATTCATATTGCTTAACTCTAAATATGTATTTATATAATAAATTATACCATTATTTTCAAAATAGATAATAAATACACCAAGCTTATGGGAAAAGCTTGAAGATTCCAATGTGGTTCGGTGTAATGATGATCATTCAGTATCGGAGCAAAAATATTGTTATTGTTAACTATTTAATTGTTAAAATATTTATGTAAGGTCATATTGTGTTTCTGTACAACTAGTCTAATACTTTGTAGGTATATTAAATATTATTTGTAGCATAGTAAAAATATGCTACAGATGTGTCAGTATACTTATAAAAGTAATTAGCACTTAATATTTTATTTTGTTTTGTATTATAGCACTTAAAAATAATTTTAAGGTTACATTTTTGGTTGTTAACATTCAAAAATTATTTAACTTAATTCATGGTTTTATTAATGAAATAGACATAATATTATTATTATTGTTTACTTTTACCTCAGAATAATTATAATTATTCTGTGCTTATAKATAGTACTATTTATATATATAATCAATTGATTAATTATGTATACTATATTATGCAATAATAATAAATCATAATTTATTAAAAATGCATCATTTTATAATTATTTTTTCCATTGGCATTTATTTTGCAGTGATTATCTTAGTTTTCGATGAATTCAGAATTAATTATGTTAATTCAATTATTGTTAAATTATTATGAAACTGGGAAAGTCAATCTACCGGTTTTCAAACCTTGTTTATGAGTTGACTGTAATAACTAATGGATGCATTGAATTCAATAGTAAATTATTCTACCTCTATGTTCAGTATTATTATTATTTTAAATTGTGTTTGCCGGCAGGTGCCTGCGTTCTCTCTGCATTTTTTTTTTTCATTTATTTAATTCTAGTTGATTTTTTCGTATTGATTTTTAAATTATTGACCAGCTACTAATGGAAAACCCCTGTTTAATTGTTTTTTAATAGTTTAATATTATTGTTAATKGTTTTTTGGGTGTATGATTCTGGAGATTTTAAACTGAAGTGTTCAGCATTTGTATCTATACTATATTATTTTATCTGAATTTAACAGGACTTTAACTTTTTAAATTAATATTTTAAACTTTATCCAACTTAGGGAATCTCTAATAATTAATAAACTAATTATTGTGAATAATGTTTTGGGCTTAAGCATCTTGAGACAATTTAATGTAGTCAGTAGCTTTAAGCTTTACATACTTATTCAGAATTCTTTATTACTCATTAAAATATGTTTGGCTGAAATCTCAGTCCTTGTATGAGCATCGTTTTAAATTGCAAATTTTGGAAAATCTCTATATTAACGGTGGTAAAAGGGTATCATAAAAAATGTAGTCTCTGTCCATCATAATTTAACATTGCAGTCTTGCAGTAATTTATCGATTTTATCTATTCAATACGCCATTTATCACTTTATGTCTGTGTGGAATAAGTATTTAATTTATACATGTTACCTTCTGTATTACCTGCCGTTTCTCAGAGAAAAATAATAAATGAAACAATGATGGACAATCCGAGGAGGGTTAGATAGATTTATCATTATCTAAGCCTTTCTTAAATTTTACAAATTGAAAGGAGATAATTTTTAGCATATAAACCTCAACCATAAACATTGTCGGTAAAATGTAATACTTAATGATCCAGGAGATATTTGATTGTTAATAAATTACTAAATTTTTAAATCTGATGAATGAGGATTTTAGACTGCTTTTCACGTAGTACTAAAATTAATTTTCTGTGCTATATTTTTTTTTTTATTCTAATTATGCATTTGGCATGGAGGTACTCAGTGGTACAAAAGACAATCTTAGCTGGCCAAAAAAAACTATTTCGAAAAATTAAAAATTAATTTGTATTTAATTATTTGTGTTTAAAATAATCTAAGGCTGAATATAGAATTTCAAATGAATTCTTAAGCACTCGACTTCTAGAGCTTTTTTTAAAATATCTACATTATTTTATTGATAGTCCTAGACTATTATAAAATTTTATTTTTTTTATTGTTAAATTTTCGTTTGTAATATTAAAATATGTGAAATTTGGATGAAATTAGTTGAATAGGAATAACAATTTTAACAAGTTATTTTATTGTATTTTAAAAATATGTGTGGATGGGTACTTGAAATGTTTAAAGTTATTTGTTATTTTTTTTAACATACAATGTCAGTATGATATTCTCTAATACATTTTTTTTTTTTTACCAAAACTAATTCAACCAGTATGTCTTGTGAGGATTTACCTGTTATGATATCTCCTGAGATAATAAATATATCATAAATCTGTTTTTATTTATTTGACTCACATATACAAGGGTTACATGCATGATGCATTTTATTTTTAATTTAAAAAAAAAATATAGGAGCTGTATCTCACAAATCAATCAACGAAAAATAAAAATGTTAACATGTAAATTCATCAAAAAAATGGTTTTATTAATTTATTATGATATTTTTGTTACATGTTTCCATTTGAAAATCAAAAGTTACGAATGATTTCACCAGTAAATATAAGAGTGAAAAAAATTAAAATATTATACGGTTTTAGAAAAACATAAACATAATGTTAAAAAAAAAAAATTTTTCGAGATAATTAGTGTACCCACTTAAATGGATCACTCTGTAGATAATATGACAAAAAACTGGTTTTTATCCGGATGTCGAGTCCCTCTCTAGTCTCTACGACTTATGGGTATATCCTCACGGGACACTCTGTATTGTACAACTAATTGTAAAATAAATTATTTTAAAACAGTTATATTATAAAATTAAAAATATACTAATTGGTAATATAAGCTGACAGACCATTTTCGTTCAGAATTGTTCATATATACATTTTTAATTATACTTGTATTAATAGTTATTTTTGCGATTTTTATTTTAATATTTTAAATACAACGTGCTTTTTCATAAATTAATATTTTATAAAGTTTACTTTAATTATTTGCAAGTATTTTTTTGGAAAATTGCTTTAACTATTGTTTTGTGCTTCTACGACACCATCACGTATCGAAAATGCTTACCATTCGACTTGAAGAATTCAAGAATTCCCGCTTTTTGTTTGATTTCATACCGATTGACATTAATATCATAGAACACAATATTTAATTACAAAATCTTGGAGGAAAAAATTGAATTTATAGATGTATAATTTAAAATTGAATAAAAATTAGACCCTCACAGTAAAATAAATGCATTTTTACAAATATGACTATAATATGAATAATATAATTTTTCTATGTATAAATAATTTCTGAAAATTTTTTTTTTATTTTCTTAAATTTTATTTTAAGTTTTATTTTTAAGGTTAGTTTCTTATCGTTTGCTAAATATTGTACGCAACTTCATGCCTTAGTTTTAAAAATTGGAAAAGCTCGTGTCTTACTTTTTAAAGTTCGATACGTCTACTTTTCTATTACTTACTTATTAATTATCGTTTCTATTTTTATGAAAATACATTTTTAAATACCTCTTTGTGTTGTGTCAACTGTATTCAGGTATTAGTATGTCGTCAACTTGTAACGATCATAGTTTCGTGTCATTGCTCTACTTTATACTCATAATTTGTAATGTAACATAAAATATGTTAGCCAATTTAATACATTTGAATTGTAACTGTAATTGATACTTGGTTATGGCTTCCATTTCAAGTAATAACTTATTGTACCTTCGTACTTGCAGTATTTATTTTAACTAATAATTTGTGATTATTTTCACATACTTTGTATATAATTATTCATTTTACAGTGAAAATGCCTGTTGTATCTAATTACTTGAAAAAAAATGATAGTTTGTATATGTATGAACATAACAATCTATATTTTAACTTTTATGCTTAGGATGCCATCTGACGCGAAAAAAAGACAACTGCAGAAAAAGAAAGATGCAGCTAAAGCACGACAAAATATTAAACCAGCCGGTTCTAAAGACAGTAATGGAGTATCAAATGGTGATGAAGTGGTTCCTATTAGTGAAGAAGGTAATACTTATTAACATATTATATTTTATGAATTTGATTATTTCACGTTAGGATCCTGTTAACATTGAAATTTGAAAAATTGCTGGGTTGTTCTACTTCAATACTGTTTTAAAGTTCATTAAAATCATTGATCAAATCCAATTTTAAATTATAATTTTAGAAATGATCATAGTTCAATATAACTATGTTTACAACTATACCAACCTATCAATACTAAGTATAGTGTATCTGTCCACACAAAACATTTAAAGTCATAAAATATGATTTCTAAGAATAAGCTTTCTTAAATTGTTTCACAAAATATACTTATTATTCTTTTGGTATGCATAGACATATATATTAACTGTATTTTATACTATTAAAATGTTGGCTTTACACTTTCAAATGGCAATAATATTTATGATTATTGATTAAAAATTTTTAATTAGTCTGTAATGTAATAATTCAATTATTACAATACAATAAGATACAAATTTAATACAAACCTTAACTTTAACCAATTATTAATTAATCTAAAAATTTTACTTTTAGAATTGCTCTGTAAAAAGCTGGAAGCTGATGCAAAATTAAATGCTGAAGCTCGTGCTTGTACTGGTAGTTTAGCATCTCATCCTAGATCTAGGGATATTAAGATTGATAATCTATCAATAAGTTTCCATGGCTGTGAACTATTACAAGACACTATGTTGGAATTGAATTGTGGTCGCCGTTATGGCTTAATAGGTTTAAATGGAAGTGGTAAGAGAGATTATTTTGTTATAAATAAGAATTAATTTAGTATAGAGCAAATTTTTTTTATTTTCCTAGGAAAGTCAACTCTATTATCAGTATTAGGAAATCGAGAAGTACCAATTCCTGAACAAATTGATATTTTTCATTTGACTAGAGAAATGCCAGCATCTGAAAAATCTGCACTCAAATGTGTTATGGAAGTGGATCAAGAAAGAATTAGGCTTGAAAAACTTGTTGATGAATTAATAGCATGTCCCGATGATGGTAAATAATCAGTAATTTTTTATTATTAAAAAGAAACTATATTTTTTTATTATTTAACTATAGAATCACAAGAACAATTAATGGATGTTTATGAAAGATTGGATGACATTAGTGCTGATACTGCTGAAGCTCGAGCTGCTAATATTTTACACGGTCTTGGTTTTACTAAAGCCATGCAAAATCAAAAAACAAAAGATTTCTCTGGTAATAAGATTTATATTTAAATTTTTAGAGTATTAGTTTTATATATTTTTTTTTATTTTGAAAATCTATTTTTTATCAATATAAATTGATTTTCTATATTTGTATTTTTTTTTATGCATTATAGGGGGTTGGAGAATGAGAATTGCTTTAGCTCGAGCTTTATATGTCAAACCACATTTGCTG